AGTTAAAAACACTTATTACATGTATATAAAAGTAGCTGAAACAAAAGTTTCATAAAATGATATTGAACCTTACTATACACAATATACTGATATTTTCTGTTCTTCTGTATACATTTTAAAAAATGTGGTCATGAACCATAAATTGATTTCCTAATTTCCGGATTCATTAGGAAGTTCCAACCTCTGTCTGAAAAGCCAGCTGGCTGAAATGGATGTTTAGCCTAGCAGTTAAGATGACTCCATTTCCTATTGGTGTGCCAGGGATCCACCTGCAGTTCACATTGGTGACTCCAGCTTCCCAGCAATGCAGACCCTTGGGAGCCAGCAGTGATGGCTCTAGAATTAGGTCCTTAAACCTACGGGGGGTGGGGGTGGGGGTCAGTGCTGTGGCACAGTGAGTTAACGCCCTGGCCTGAAGCGCTGGCATCCCATATGGGCGCCAGTTTGAGACCCGACTGCTTCACTTCCTGTCCAGCTCTCTGCTATGGCCCAGGAAAGCAGTAGAAGATGGCTCAAGTCCTTGGGCCCCTGCACCCACATGGGAGACTGGGAAGAAGCTCCTGGCTTCGAATCAGCAAAGCTCCGGCCGTTGTGGCCATCTGGGGAGTGAACCATCGGATGGAAGATCTCTTTCTCTCTCTCTGCCTCTCCTCTCTCTGTAACTCTTTCAAATAAATAAATAAATCTTAAAAAAAAAAAAAAAACCAAAAAAAAAAACCTACAGGGGAGACCTGGATTGAATTCCTAGTTCCCAGCTTTGGCCCATAGTGGCTAACAGATTGGTATTCTATCTGTTTTAGGAAAGAAAAAAAAAAAAAAAAAAAAAAAAAGCAGGCAGACAAGGGTTTCCCAATTGTAAATGCACAAAGCATTTAGCTTCTTTCATCCTAGGTTTCACTTGTCACAAAGACTGTATCATAGTTATAGTAAGAATTAAAATGCATATGTAAGACTTTAAACGCAAGGCCAGGAAGGCCAAGAATGGAAGGTGCTCAATTAATATTAGTTGACCCTGACCTTACTCATTTCTTATCTATATTGTCAGTCCCTCTCCTACATTTTAAAGGCCTTAACTGACCTTTCTGCTTCTAGTCTCATCTTGCCGATGGCACTGAGATAATGGTTTCTAAAATGAAGATCCAATAATTAGTTGCTACCTATAGCTTTTGGGATTAAATATAAATTTCACACAAAGGCATTTAAACATATAGCCTTGGCCTTCTCTTCAGCCATATATATGGTAACTTGTTCCAGTATCTCCTCTCTTCATACCCCATTTGGTCTTCCCCCATCATGTCTTACTAAATGCTTTGCTCTACCCCTTGAGTGCCTGGGTATATACTAATTTATTTACTTCTACCTTATATATCTTGCCATTTATGTTCTGATAAGCTCTCATGTAATTAATATAGACTAATTGAAGAATTATTTTGGGGGGAAGCATACATGAGGCAGGAGGCTGAGTTAAGTGTCCCTTCCCTAAGTCCTTTAGTACCTTAGTATACCTTTATAATCACTGTATTACACACAGTAGCTGTATCTGCAGTCAGAGTTTAATTTATCTTTCTTGTTCATCAGACAATGGTGAGCTGGAGGACCAGGCTTCATTTTTTAATCCCTGAATTCCCCCAGGGGTACCTAATAAGTACTCAATATACATTTAATGAATGAACAAGCATTTCTAAGTTAGAAATGTTCCTCTGCAATTCTGCTAAGCAATTTTCCTGTCTACCACAGAAATAGCTATTTTAGTATAACACCAATGTGACAACAAATTATTTCTTTAGCTAGCATATTTATTGTTAATTAAAAATATAGACAAGATTTTTTAACAGAATATCCTACTGGTTACTTTCAGTCACAAACATACGGTTGCTTACTAAGAATATCATTTAGACAGTCTCCCTTTCAAAGCGAATGATGTGATTACTAATGGAACTGGTATGGTTCCCCTTAATGCTAGTCATACTACCTTGGAGATAGAATTTGATCTGCAGGCAGATTTACTTAAAGATGTAGTTGTAGAATAAAATCTGAGAACATATTTAAAAGTAGGTTAAAGTACTTTGAGTTCTTTTCATGAAAAACAAACACAGAAGTCTCTCAAATTAAAATCTCTGACATTCAGATTTTAATAAGGATGATAAATTACTACTAAACATCTGAATGGTTGTATTTGTTTCCCAACAAAATAACATGCAAATTTCATCAAACATTCAAAACCTGCATCCTTTAAACACAGCAATAATCAAAGCACGTTACTTTTCTAAGGCAGATAACAATCAGATTAGGCTAATTTTTTTTAAAAAAAGGCAGCCCATTTTCTAGGTCTCCAATTAAACTGCTCTTTAAACCCGAACTAAATTTTCCTAAGGCATTCAATTTTTTGACAGCTGACATGTTAGCTACTGTTTAAAAGATGATTATTATGTGTAATCAACTTATTGTTTACCAAGTATCTATTAATAAAATTTTTAAGCATTATAGTTGTCAAGAAGTTAGATTAAGTTTTTTTTTAACTTTTGTTATTATATATTTAGGTAAAATATATAAATTGTGACAGTGCTTTCCTTTTTTTTTTTTCTTAGAATGGCACTAAATGGACAACTGAACTCTGGCTAAGGAAATTCTATCTGCGTGCTTTCCAAGATACTATTTATAGCATGCCCCCCCTTTTCAGCTCAGTCATTGTAATTTCTGGATTGTCTACAGTTGTAAAATCCAATTATTACTCTATTAATTTTATTAAAAATCTAACATCATTCAGGTTCTCCACCAGTTTCCCCATAAGGAAAATAGGAATAATCCTGTTAGTCAACGTTTTCTGGAAGATTTTCATTAGTGTTATCTGTATCATTGCCACACAGCATTAGGCAGGGCAATCAAAGTGCTGCCGAACATGAACATTCAGTCAGCAAGACAGTAAATCTGAAGCTATTGTAATATTAATGGAAGCCCAGGGATATTAAAAATAAAACGCCAAAGTGCTTAATGAGCACCAGTAGACTTTATTTCATAAACCTAAGTTCTAAAAGCAGTAAGAAGTCTGATTCCTATTAAATGTCATTTCAAGTGGCAGGAATATAACAATGTGGTTTTACTTACTATCTTGCTCATTTTTTTCTGAAAAGCAGAATCCTATGTAATACATAGTGAAATGAAGTGGCAAATGGTATAAATCTTAGAGAATTCTACTCAAATTAATAAAAAGTAATTTACATCAAAATATGAAAACTTCTGAAACTGTTCTCATACTTTAGGCCAATCTTTTTAAAAGTAATCTTTTTAAAAGTCAATTCAATAAACTAGCTTTTTACTTCTATAAGTTTATAAGTTCTTTAGGTCTTTTTTTTAAGGTCAAATAATGCACTATTATTTTTGAATATATGTGAATAAAATTGTATCTTTAAGCAATCTTAAACATGTTGCGCACTATTTTTTTTTTTCACACTGTGGATCTTTTAAATATTTTCCTGCTTAATAGTAGCTTTTGTAGGTGAACCACGCTAAAGGTATTAAATTTGCAATTGTGAAATTTATAATTTAGCAGCTCTAGGCTTGTGTCCTAGTGTTTCCATTTAGTATCTTATGGTAGATTCTTCCACATCTCTGAATTCGTTTTCTTAAGTATAAACAATGACTAACACCACCTGTCTAGAATCGTGAATGACGATTGAATTTGATAACCCTGCCTGGCACATTCTGAGCACCGAATCAGCATTAGCGTCATTCTTAGCTGTCCGCGTGCCAGCAATCCCTATTTGAATCCGGTGGAGGCCTTTGCTTGTCCATCTAAATACAGCCTGTTTCTTGCCTCTTCCCACCAACATCTTCCAAAAGGCAACCCACAGATACGTTTATTAAACTTCATATTGAGTCTAATAGAGTCAATAATAGCCAGTGAGCTATTTTAACCGAGTATTCGGAGAAACAGATGAACAAATCCCACATAGCATTTTCACAAACAGGTAACTGTCATTTCCTACAGGTCTGCGCACGCAGAAAATTATATTTACTTATAAAATTGTTTAGGCGGGTGAGCCTGTAACGCGAGTAAAATGTATTGACAGGATACAATGAAGGCGCTGAAATAGAAGTGGAGAAACGAGGTCGAGCGAGAAACAGGAACGACCGTATTTATTTCATGGTCGGAAGATGGATCAGCACGCATTCGCCTTCCACAATTAGCTTCTCTGCGGAATGCTTGAAAAACAAGCAAGAAATTAACAAGGGAGAGAACAGGAGAGGACGATGCTAAACCATCTTGAAAACCAGAAGGCTTAGAGAGGATTTTTTTAGAACCTCTGCCTCTTCCAATTAATACTGTTTAATGCACCGTCAGTGTTTAAAGGGGAAGAACGTCCCACGGCATGCCGCCCTTAGCAGGATTGGGATATGCACTTTAGAACGCTTACTATCAATAACAAAGAAACACCTAAAAATCACTTTCAAGCCAAACTCACGGCGCGTTCGTGATTCACGAAGGCCAGGACCTCGAGGCAGGAGCATTAGTGCACCAAAAAACACATCCTCCTGAAAATCAGTTTCGCCGAGGAGGACGAGCCACTGGTTTACGATTTCTTTATGATTTACAACCGACATCTCCAAAAAGGAGTCGAGACAATTTTCAGTGTTTTTAATTACGGAGTTCCCAACTTCACGGACTCGGTCTCCCCGCATCCTTTCCCCATTCTACAGGGTCCGGGCCTCTCGGCCGTGGCGCGCCGCCCCGCACAGCCCACGGCCCCGCACAGCCCACGGCACCACGCAGCGCTCGCTCTGCGCTCCGCGCGGCTTCGCCGGGAAAGACTGCCCTGCTCGCAGGGGCCACCACAACCAGAGCGGTCGACCAACGGCCGCCGTCGCCCGCATTCGTTGTCCCGCCTTCCAGTTCCACTCCAGCCAACAGCAAGGGCCATCGGGATACAGAAGCCAATGGGAACTCGAGGAGGGGCATCATAGGCCGCGGTAGCCTCGCAGTGCAGTCTGGGCCTCCGCCTCCGTTACCCTGGAGTCGAGGTCGCCGCGCCTCGGCCACCCGGGAGCCGCTGTCCCCGCCCCTGTCCCAGCCCTGTGTTCAAACTTCCCGCACCCCGGCAACCTCGGCACCCGCCCCGCAAGCCTCCGCAGGAGCCAGGCACCCGCTGTGTGGCGGCCGGACGCCGAGGCCCCGGCGGGGAGTTCGGTCCGGGGAGGGAAGGCAAGGAGGCGGGACGCCGCTTTGGCGATCTGGGGGCGCCGGGGCGGGTTGGGGGTGGTTTTCGGGGTGGGCGTGGAGACTGCGGGGTCGCGAGAGAAGATTGGGGCGGAAGCGTTGAGGGGAGCTGGTGGTGGGGCCTTCGTGGTTTGCGGCGTGCGGGGAGTTGAAGCTGAGAGTGTGAGAAGGATTAAGGATGGGGAGGATTTGGGGGCGGGGCGAGGGGAGAAAGAAAAGTCCTGGAAATTAAGTGCGGAGCTCGGCAGCCGGGAAAGGGGATGGGAGGAGGGCAGGTTGACTGGCAGGTGGGGGACTGGGAAGTTGAGGGGAGTTGGCAAAGGGTTGTCTGTTGGGAACCAGGAAGAGAAGGAAGGGAGCACAGTGCGCCCGGATCGAAAAGGGTTAAGAATAATTTAGAACCAAAATTAATCCTGGAGGTCTGTGAAGACTCGGGGCCAAGGTGGGCAGAAGGTGTGGGTAGCTCTGAGACAAAAGGTTTATGATCAGACTGCGGTTGTGATTAGAGTGGAAAGGCACTTTCGTCCAGACGGACATGCAGGCTTCAGGGCCTCAGGGATGGGATGAGGGGAAGTCAAGGTAGCAAAAAATGTGCTGTCTTGCCGGGAGTGAATTGCAGCAGGTACTCGGATCCTGGAGGTTTTCCTTTTGGCCCACCAGGGCGTAGTGTGTAACCGTGGGGAAGAGCACTGTCCCGGTTCACCTGGATTTAAGCCCCTCTCCTGCTACCTTTGTTGCTTTGGACATATTACTAACACCCAGCGTTAACAATAGCATCATTTAAAAGAATGGGAATAGGTGTAGATTGGCTGTGAGAATTTTAACAAGATATTTGAGCCTTTAGGTAAATGAAAACAATTGAATGGTTTTTGTTAAAGTGCACTTGTGTGTAGATTTCATTCGTTGAAGGGTGCATTGGTGATGATCTTAATCTTTTCTATCATGAATCCCCAGTCTCCCAAAGTCTGAAGGAGGTTTTACCTTCTTTCCCTAGGAAAGTAGACTTGAATATCTTGTAGGGATCAAAAGTCATCATTTAAGAGACTTTTTCAGTGGGTCATTGGAGGGACTATATGCATTATGGAAAAAGGTCCACCATTAAGGTGCCAGTTTATTATCTCTGTTCTCTCTCTTTCCTTTCCATGGTTGTTGTTTTATTCCTATTTTTTGGCTGTAGTTCTGTAGTTGAATTTTATATTACTATTTTAAATCTTTCACTTTGTGACTTTTAATATGTTGACTAGTATGTTTATCCAAACATGTATTAGGAAGTAGTAGTTTGGTTTGATTCACCAAATTGACAAAGTGTCATTTCAAATCAAAAATAATTGATGACTTAGGAAAACAGACTTTTGTCAAAGTTGCATTACTCTGTGAAAAATGTTTAATTGTATTAAGACACAGTAGAAGCCATTACAATAAAGATACCACCTTTTCTCCTGGTTCTTATCTTGCTAGCCCCTCCAGCTCCTTTGTGGGATCCTCTTCCTCTGCCCACCGTTTAATTATTGCTACTCCTTAGAATTTAGTGGTCTGTCCTTTCACTCCATGTTCTTTGTTGGCTGAGTTCATCTTCTCCTTTGGCTTCCACTATCTGTATTTTATTAACACAGTCCCAATTTTTAATCTCTGTTCTTGAAGATTATGTAGCTATTTATTTTTTTGGTAATTTCACATAGATTTCTCATATATATGCCAAACTCAGTATGTCTGACATTAAACACATCACCTTTCCCTGACAAACCTGCCCTACTTGAATGGTACTATGCCACCCAATTGTGCAAGCTCCCAAATTTCAAGTTCAATAGATTTTTCTGTCTTCTAACACTATACATTTAACTTGTCATCAAGTCTAGTTTATCCTACTTGATGAAGATTTCTGGAATGAGTTCTGTGCTCTGTAACTAAACTACCTTAGTTCATGCCGTTATCATCTGTCGGAGGCTTCAAGACCAACTCTTGTTCTTTCTCTAGCTTTATTGCCCTCCAGTTCTTGGGTTGGGGTTGGATCTCCGCAAATGTCAGATCTGATCCTTTTAATTCTACTGATGATCTTTGTTTCCAGCCAGCTTTTTTTTTTTTTTCAGGTGTTTAGTAGCCACTGTGTGGACAACCCAGCCATAAACGGATTGCATTTTGATTATATATCAGGCTTACATGTTTACCTTATGCCTTTCATTTTCATTTTTTTCCACATGCTATTGTAGCTTGTTCAACTGCATTCTTTTTTTATTTTTTTCAGATTTATTTTTATTTATTTGAAAGAGTGACAGAGAGAGGTAGAGACAGAGAGAGAGGTCTTCCATCAGCTGGTTCACTCCCCAAATGCCTGCAACGGCCAGAGCTGCGCTGATCTGAAGCCAGGAGCCAGGAGCCTCCTCCGGGTCTCCCATGGGGGTACAGGGCCCAAGCACTTGAGCCATCTTCTACTGCTTTCCCAGGCCACAGCAGAGAGCTGGATTGGAAGAGGAGCAGCCAGGACTTGAACCGGCGCCCATATGGGATGCCAGTGCTGCAGGATGGTGCTTTAACCTGCTGTGCTGTAGCACCAGCCCCGGCTTCTGGTTTCTTAATGTAGGAGATCACTTGTGCCTTAACTTATTTTTATATCTCCAGCAACATCTATAGCTCAGAAATTGACATTAGTAGGTGTTCAGTAATTGAATGAATGAGTGAATGTGATGTCTTCCCCTGACTGACTGAACCTTGGGCTGATACACTGTGATTAAAATGCTTTCATTTAATCTATTGTTTCAAAATGTCAAAGAAAAAACTGATTATGCCATAATTTTTAAATCTAGCATTTATTATAATCTGACTGAGCATACTGAAAATTAAACTTAAAATCCAAACGTAGTTTTAAATGTTTTTAAAGTTTTATTTTTAACCACAGGGTTTTTTTTAAAATTATTTATTTGAAAAGCACAGTGACGAGAAGAGAGGGAGAGGGAGAGAGAAAGAGAGTGCTTTCATATGCTTGTTGTCTCCCCAAATGGCTGCAACAGTTAGGGCTAGGCTAGGCTGAAGCCGAGATCCCAAAACTCCATCTGGGTCTCCCTCATCGGTAGCAGGGTCTCAAGTACCTGGGCCATCATCTGCTGCCTTCCTAGGCACATTAGCAGGAAGCAGGCTTGGAAGTAGAGTAGCTGGGACTCCAAAAGACACTCTGATATGGGATATAGGGTTCCCAAGGGGAAGCTTAACCTGCTGTACTACAAGGCAGCTCCCACAGTTTGACTTCTAAGTAAGAGTAGGTATTAGGCAAATAAATACATGAGATAAAAATTTTTAGAAATATACAGGAACATGTAAATAGGAGTGGGAAAACTTGGTTTTTGTTTCTTAAGCATTTCTCCTTTGTAGGAAAGAAGCAGTTGTAATTTTTTTTAAAGATTTATTTTTTTTTTATTATTTTTATTTTTTGACAGGCAGAGTGGACAGTGAGAGAGAGAGACAGAGAGAAAGGTCTTCCTTTGCCATTGGTTCACCCTCCAATGGCCAATCCGAAGGCAGGAGCCAGGTACCTATCCTGGTCTCCCATGGGGTGCAGGGCCCAAGTACCTGGGCCATCCTCCGCTGCACTCCCTGGCCACAGCAGAGAGCTGGCCTGGAAGAAGGGCAACCGGGACAGAATCTGGCGCCCCGACCAGGACTAGAACCCGGTGTGCCGGTGCCGCAAGGCAGAGGATTAGCCTAGTGAGCCGCGGCGCCGGCCTAAAGATTTATTTATTTGAAAGGCAGTGTTACAGAGAGGCAGAGGCAGAGGGAGAGGTCTTCCATCCACTGGTTCATTTGCCAAATGACTGCAGTGGCTGGAACTGGGCTGACCCAAAGCCAGGAACCAGGAGCTTCTTCTGGGTCTCCCATACGGGTGCAGGGGCCCAAGAACTTAGGCCATCTTCTACTGCTTTCCCAGGCCATAGCAGAGAGCTGGATCAGAAGTGGAACAGCCAGGACTTGAACTGGCACCCTTAATGGGATGCTGGCAGTGAAGGTGGTGGCTTTACCCACTGTGCCACAGTGTTGGCCTCACAGTTGAAGTTTTAATGTAGCAGTGTAGTTGTTTATTTTTTTTATCATATCTTTAGGCATTTTCTTTTCTGAAGAGAGCTCCTTATTTATATCTGTCTCAGTTTATTTTCATTTCGCTTGCCTTATCTACTGTATGACCTCTCTTACTGGGAGTACCGGTAGCCAGGCAGCAATGTTGTATACAAAAAAGCTGGGCACAAGGATGTGTCAGGAGGTTGACAGGTCTGATTTTATGCAATTTTCCCTTAGAACCAAGAGCCTTCTTTAGAGTCACATCTTAGATGATCATTATGATTTTATATACAGTGGCCTCTACAGCTTATATTTACTTTCTGACTCATCTGTACCTGGATATAAAGGACATATTCTAGCATAGAAAGGTCTTGTGGTAATCTTTGTTTCTGATCTATTATGTGTAACCCGTGTTGTTTGACACTTTATTTTAGGGATTTATTTTTGGATGAAAAATGACAGTTATTATACTTGATAGTTTTCTAGCATTGCCATAGTAGCATTCTTGGCCATTTTAAGAAAATAAGTCTTTCTTAGCAGTTGAAATTGGCCAAGACTTATAATTTTCTTTTATCTTGTTCTCTTAAAAAATTCTGTTATTTATAAAAGGGAGACAGAGAAAGAGAAAGAGACTGATAGCGATCTCCCATCTGCTGATTCACTCCCTAAATACTGGGAATAGCTGGAGCTATGCCAGGCCAAAGCCAGTCACTGGAAACTCAATTCCAGCCTCCCACATAGATGCCGAGGAGTTTATTCCTTGAGTCACTGCTACTGCTTCCTAGGATTTACATTTGCAGGAGGCAGAATTGGGAGCAGAATCTGGACTTGAACTCAGGCACTCTGGTATGGGATGTGGGAGTCCCAAGTGTCTGTCTTATCTGCTGTTCGAGTTGCCTACCCCTTTTATTTTTTTGATTACCATTGAGAGAGTTCTAACA